GCAGGCTTCCCAGGAGAGGTGCAAGAGGATCCTCCATAGCCACGTCCCATGCTGTCTCCCCTGGCCGCATGCACCCGCTGGAGGCATCCTGACTTGAGCGGTGTTTTACTGACTCCCCTGCCACTATACCACTCCCCTTCCCCCATCTTTCCTAGTTCAAAGCCCTCCTTACCAGGCTGGCCAATCTGTTGGCAAAGACACGCGTGCCCCACTGAATGAGGTGGATCCCATCACTCCCCATCGGCTGTCGATCTTCAAACAGGGTCCCATGGTCATAGAAACCAAAGCCCTGTTGCTAACACCAGTGGTGCAGCCAGTTGTTAACTTGGAAAATTCGTCTTCTCCTTCTCCCGTCCTTCCCCCTCACAGATAGAATTGAGGAGAAAACGACCTGGGCTCCCAGACCCTTAACCACCATCCCCAGAGCTCTGAAATCCTGTTTCATGTTATCCAATTTGCCTTTAGTGTCATTAGTGCCCACATGAAAGAGCAGCAGAGGGTTATAGTCCAACGCATGGGCAAGTCTTGGCAGTCTTTCCATGACATCTCTTATTTGAGCCCCTGGCAGGCAGCAAACCTCTCTAGACAAGAGGTCAGGTTGGCCTCTGTCCCCTGCAGCAGGCAGTCACCCACAACAATTACTCACTGCTTCTTCTGGGTGTTCCTACATGGTACAGGGTCTGTCAGGCCAGTAGCTTCCCTTGGAGCCATGCCCAGGTCCTCCTCAGCCTGGAGGGTGCTAAACTTGTTCCTCAAAGGCAAGTCTTGAGGAGGAGCAAGAGCCTTTCTCCTTCTATGAGATGTGACCAGTTTCCAGCCTTCTTCAACAGTGTTATGATGTACCGTTACACACGGTACAGAGCCCTCCGACAACTCCGCTGCAGTGGGGGGTGGGGACTCCTGAAGCTGCATGGTGTCTGAGAATACCCTGTCTATCTCCTGCTCATCTTCTCGGATGCTACGCAGCCTACTGACTTCCTCCCATAACTCCTTTATCTGGCAATATAACTCACCAACCACAGCACACCTTCTGCAGGAGAGTTGACTGTCAGCCCAGGCCTCACAGAGAGGCCCCAGGCACTCCCTGCAGCCTGACACCTGCAGAGCTGCATCTGCTGCCAGAGGATCTGTCTGGGTTGAAGCTTCAGACACAGGTGATGCAGCAACTCCAACATGTGCTGCATGGGGGAATGTGCTCTGTGGCGCGTCATGACCATACCTGAGGAAGCACACACTACTACGGGAAACGAAGGTGCCTTCTTCTGGTGCCTTCTGGCGCCCTTCTGCGTGAATTGCTGCGCAAAGTGCTGCATCTGTTCACTGCCTCTGTTGGCTGCGCTCTGGGCCTGGCTCTTATATATGCCTCTGCCTAGCAGTGACTCACAGAGTGCTTGACCCACCCCAATCAGGAGCCACCTGGATCAAAGGCCCCCAACTCCCTCTGATCAGAGGCAACCAAGAGAGCTCGCTAGCAGCAGCCACACATAGCTACAGCTTCCCAGGAGAACTTAAGGTCTCCTGCAGTTGTCCTTGCCTAGCTCTCCCTTCCTGCTAGCAGCAAGCACCATCTAGTTCCTCGGGGGTCCCCAGAAAGCCTCCACAACTTCCAATAAGGTCCACAAAAGGCCCAAGCAGAGCCCAGACACTGCTGTGCAAACTGCTGCGTCTCTTTGCTGCCTCTGTTAGCTACGCTCATATCATGCATGTCTGAAATTGTTCACTTGATCACAGATTTAGTTAAATCATAGAAGATAAGTATTTTCTAGTTCTTAGTTTCACTTAGTGCAATTGCATGAACAATTCATGCCATTTTAAACTTGCACATCAGAAAGGCCTTTATTGCCCATTGCCATTGTAGAATTATTTTTAATCTCACTGCTAAAGTTAAAAGGTAACATCTATATAAAATTAAAAGTGTTCAGAAAAATTAGGCCCAAACAAAATTCTACATCTCTTCCAAAAAAAACTTGCATCTCTCATACATTAATAAAATTTTTAATGATTTTTGTAATTTTAGTGTAATCAGTATCAATCAGTTATGTTTAAAATAATTTACTGAAATACTACCTAGTTTAATTGATCGCTTCCGTATAAAGAAAAGAGAGGACATGGCCATATTCCAACTTATTCTAATTCCTAAATATTCAAATCACTGATTGTTTCTTCCAAAGAACAGTCGTGAAAAATGTACATACTAAATTGAAGGAAAGACAATTTCATGATCTATACCAGTTCAGTCTAAGTGTTGCACTAGATATTTGAGAGCAATAGTACACATTCCTGCCTCCTTAAGTTTGAGACTTCCTTGTTATCAGTGTCTCAAATATTTAGGCAACTGTCTTTTGTTATAATCCTCCAGGATAAACCTGAATATCAAATCTTTTTCTGCATAGGTGCTAACTTCTTGCCTCTTCTTCTCACAGTTAAGACAGATAATAATGAGTTATTTCTAAGAATGCTGGAACTGCAAAGCTTACATTACAAAAGCAAGCAAACCGCACTTGAAACTATTCTTTACTGAGGTTTTTCCTTCTACTGCATTTCAACAGAATGGGAGAGAGACTTGAATATTCCATTGCTTGTTTTGTTTATGAGCTACAGGGCTTGCTTTGTTTGGCATACTGTGGATGGACAAGATCAACTACCACAATTATAACGAACCTGTAAGTATGACTCGCCACTGTCTTGTTACTCATACAGTAACCTGCACTTGCACAGAACTGGCGCAAAAAGATACTTCTGATTTGGAACCGTTTTGAACCCACAGTGGACTCATTCTGGACACATATAAATAGCTATACAGGATAGAAGGCAACGGAGACTCAAGTTCTGTATTTTAACAGTTAGCAAAGGACAAAATGCATGGGACAGGAAACTTTTTTAGGATCTTATTCAGACTTAAAAAATTTAAGTATTCAGAAAGACCATTTCCTGCAACACGTTCTATGTTTTCCCTTTAGGTGCAAAGCTTGAATAAATAAATGAACAACGACAGTTGAAAAGGATTACAGGAAAGACCTCAGGGCAGGAGTTGATCTTTGCTAGAGAAGCTTTCATAAAAATAAAGCAGCCGTTATTGCAATAATATTTTCCTGGATTTCTTTGGTCTAACTGACGCTGCAAATAGCTACAGATTCATCAAGCAATAATAAGCATACCATCAGGTGGCTGTGTATTTTCTCTCCTCAGACTTAATTAAAACCCAAAGGACAGTGACTTTCCATCTGCTGGAATTAAGAGAAACTAGAAACAAACTTTATTAAGGCATTTGATACTTACACTCCCTTTAGATTTTCGAGATCCCACAATAGGAGGTAATGAAGAAGCTTTGGAACTGTGGAAATAAGTCATATCTTAGAATTTGTATACTGTCCCTATTATAGTTACTACGCATCTTGAAGGTAATATTAAGTCAGCTATGGCAATGGAGTTATTTTATCCATTGCAGTTTTACTAAAAAGCACTTGTTTCTGTTCACTAGCCTATGTATAATCATGGTATAATGTATAATCATTGAGTTATTCCAACAAATGCATTACATTTTCCCATAATGCATGTTTTATACAATGAAGAACCTCAGTGGATTACTACGTGAAAGGCCCTTACAGCTATTATAATGAAAATACTTCCACCGACCAAATTGCAGTACATCTCTGTCAGTTTACTTTAACTGATCAACATATATTAGGTAATGCTTTTCACTGCTTTTTAAACTCGTTTGTTGCAAATGTTTCCTAAAATACTTTGTTATTCATATTGTCTATATTTGTTTGTTAAAAAAAATTATAAATTACACCTCAGTTTAGTGTAGAATCTGGGACAAAACTCCCTAAATTACACCATAGTTTGTGTATAGGATGTAGGACAAAATTCTCTCTCTTCCCATTTACTCCAATGAAATGACTTCCAATTTAGGTTCAGGTTTTTCCAAAGATACTAAAAGCCCAAGTTTGTCCTTACAGAGACCTCCTTTAGGATTCTGTTATGCAATAAGCTGGCCTACAAAAAAAAGACTCAAATTAAAAACACTCTTAAAGGGGTACACATTCCATAAAACATTACAAAACAACAGCAGGTGTAGATTGGTGGAGCTACACCTAATCTCATTCAGCTATATACATTTATATCCATGGAAAACCAAATTAAGCCAAGTCAAAATAATCTTTCTTCTGGTGTTCTGTGATATGTAACGAATGGCGCATTTACGGGGGTGAAATAATCTTTTCCGTTTCCATTTTCTCTTTTATCACAGATTTCTGTCCCAAAAAGTTGTTGATAAAAGTTATGCATCCATACTAACCCATTCATCACTCCCTCCCTCTCTCCCTTACGAACGCTCTTGGAGTGATGACTTTGTACTTTGTACTTGGAACTTCGTAAACACTTTGATGGACACACAAGCATGTGAAAAGTCACATATCACACATATGTGGAACTTACCCCGGTGGCCTTCTTATTGTAGATTTGCTAAACAGGAGATCACCATACGGCAACTTCTTAAATTTGTCTCTGCCCACTGCAACATAAAACTGCCCATTCTCCAAATCTGACCCATTCTGAATAAGTTTTCCATCTAAAGTGTAGAGTCTGGAAAATATGAAAATACTTAATATAACAAACCTTACCTTTCAGTTAATTTTACTAAGAGGCACTGAAAGCTCCATTAATCTTAACCCAGTACATCATTCTGAATGTCTCAGTTTGCAACCCAATAAAGTACTGTGGCTGTCATATAGCGACCACTCACTATATACAAATCTACAAAGACATAGCAAAAGCATTATCTAAATCACATTTATGTAAAGCTAATAAAGGTGAAGCAATATGACATAAGATACCTTCCTCATTTCTAAGCTAAGTGTGAAGAATAAATTACTTTCTGTACTTAGAAGATCTTTAGCACCTTTCCCCTGCCACTTTGGAAGGTATCTATTCTATGGGTTCTTGGCGTCTCTCTTACCAAGCTCCTAATCCCATGGGTGTTCTGGGCACTCTTCAGTAACCTGGGAGGAGCAAGGGCTTTCCTGGCCCCATGACTCAGAACCCAGGATCAGACCACCTAACGCTCACACAAACTTGATACTACTGTATTTATATTGTTATATACCAATAGACCAAAGGGTTTGAGCACGCCTGCGCCTGGCGAGGTAAGGCTGAAAGCAGCAGGAAACGCATTAGAATATTAAAGCAAGAAGGTGTGCATCTTAAACATCTACAATACCAATGATTAATTTCTATTTCACTAGGTAGATTTTTACCACAAGCATTTCTGTTCATACTCCATACACATGTACTGAGAAGGAACGAATGAATTAAGGATTTGAGGATTTCTATTTCTATGATATCCCAATCACTTCACTGTCAGGTTTGTGGTTTTATTTAAGGACAGTCCTAGCAATGAGGAAAGAGGAATCATAAACAGGCTCCTTCCTACGAGACACATTCCAAATGCAACAGTAGTTATATTTAATAAAAGAATAAAGTCAACACTAACACTTCTGCATTTAAGTTTTTTAAGTACAGGAATGCTGAATGGCCATCTTAAATGTATTTCTCTAAGCCTTCTAGAGGAGCTACTATGTGTTATTCATAAATTGCGACAAAACCCAAGGAGATATAAAATGATACTTAAGTCTATGCAGTGAACCTTCTATGAAGAATATCAATAGCATGACTTGAGAACTCCCCTGAGTTACAAAGTGCAGAATTCTTCTATTTTACAGAGAAAAAATTGACTAAGTACAGACATACAGTGGTCTCACCCTGAATAAATACAGAAAAATAAAGGTGCAGCTTATAGAACCCCTCACAGAATTAGCAATGGCTGATGTTGGCAGGGACCTCTGAAAATTGCCTTGTCCGACCCTCTGGCTTAAAGCAGGAACGAGAAGAAGCAGGTTGCTCAGGGCTGCATCCAGTTGGATTCTAATTATCTCCAAGGATGGAGACTCTGCAGTTTCTCTGGGCAACCTGCTCCACTGTTCAGCTATCCCTACAGACAATTTTTTTTTCTTTTGTTTCAGTGGAATTTTCTGTATTTCGGTTTGTGCCCATTGCCGCTCACCCCGTCACTGGGCTCCACTGAGAAGAGTCTGGCTGCATCTCTTTACTGCCCCCATCAGGTATTTATACACACTGATAAAATCCTCCCGAGCTTTTTCTTCTCCAGGCTGAAGAGTTGCAGCGCTCTCAGCTTCTCCTCCCAGGAAAGATGCTCCAAGCCCCTAAACATCTTTACGGCCCTTCGCTGGACTCGCTCCAGGAAGTCCATCTCTTTCTTGTACTCCCTCTGTGAAAGTATCTTGTTTTTCTAGGTGCACCCTCCCATATAGAAATATCTAGGTTTTCTAAGCGCAAAAACTGAAAGGTCACAAAGGTGAAATTTAAACCTTCTGAAATTTTGGTCATATTGCTGCTCCCTTATGTAGCAGTATGCAAGCTCTGAAGAATCCCTCTAGGCTATTCACGTTTACTTTTAGTGCATAATAACTGAATCAAACATAATCCATCTCTGAAGGTGAAACTGAGTTTAAAAATGCATTTAACAATGCTACTTTAAACAAATATATGTATTATTATTGACTTAACAAGCATTTCTTCCTACTGAAGCCTTCTACCCATCCATCTGGCCACAACTATTCAAAGACCACGTGCATTCTCTTATACTCCTTTGGCTAGTATTATACAGCAGACATGTCCCTGTGGTCACCTCTTCTGGTCACTGGGGAATGATCTAGGGCTTGTTCTGCGGGAGATCAACGGGCTTCCATTTTCCCTCCTGCATCCAAGCTAAGAAGTAGCAGCCAAATCAAAGATAGCATATAGGCTGACAAAGGAGACAACAAGGCTACAACGTATGGGAACAGTATCCCCAAATCCCTGATTGCCTACTCAGCCAGCTGCTTTTACTCCTCAACTTCCAGGTACCACGTATCTGCTCATCAGGTTACTGTACTCCAACCCCATGAAAAATCTAATAAGCAGAAAGTCTACTTTCTCGTATTTCTTCTTCCTTTCCCAATTCCGATTAGGGAGGATCAATAACTTAAAAAAAAAAAAAAAAAGCCACATGTGAAGCTGCATAAAACTTGGGAGCTTTGTATGTCATCTAATGACATGGAAAAGAAAAAAATGCTGCATATATACTGCAAGTTCTTGTAATTCCATTCATCCTTGTTTAATGAGAAATTGTATCTTCCCAGCATCAGTGGGCTTACAGGACCTCCCCTAACGCTCACACAGTTTCAGTAAACCCCAGCAATTAATGTGTAACTTATTAAAGAACAATGATTACTTTACTAGCATATTTAATATGTATTCCTACCTTTTTAAGGAAAAGAAAATGAAAACTGGGTTAATAGGAAACCAGAAATGGAAAACACTAAATAATTCAAAATGTCACGTATGTTATCTTGTTTGTAAAAGGAATAAAACTACATACTGAAGGGAACTTCTCAAAAGCAATCCTATGTACAGAATGTTGTTTTCATGTAAATCATTCAGTTTCACCAAAGAGTGATATCAAGTAATGAGAACAAAACATGAAAGGTTTTTGAATTCCTAAGCAACCCAGGAACAGAAAGAACTTGTATGCTGTAAACATCTGTTAATCTAATCACTTCAGAACTACACTAGCTGAGAATCAGATCCAGAAAACAGCAACAGGTGTTTAGGCTTACTTTACTGCAAGTAAAAGTGCTAGGTAACCTGATAATATGAGCAAAGAGACGCAGGGCTGAGAGGAAAAAATTAGATGAAAGCTAGTAGGCAACAGAAAACATTACCTTAATCTTTTACGGTTTGTATCACTCTAGGGAAGCAATAAGAAACACTGAGAGATATTACTTTCATTGATTTGGGAAAGGTTTTGCAAGCTTAGCCTCAGACATTGCGTAAGCCACAAAGAATGATTTTCCAGCGAAAGGCTCTTTTCCATTGTAAGAATGGATTTCTGTAATGTACTCTACATGGGGCAACACTGGAATGTCAGTAATTTGCCAGTACACACCTTGGCAGCCTGCTTACGTCGCAATGTTTCCCACAGAGACTGCATATCATTGTGCTCTAAAACTTGTAACAGCTACCAGATCTTTTCTTAGAGTGCTTATTTTACGTTTTAAGGCCTGAAGAGATTGAAAATTACCTATTCCAGAGGTCATTTTCTATCCCTGGGATATCACAAGAACTCAGACCAGCTGAGATACCGGAACTGGCAAACCCCTGGCTCTGATAAGAGGCTGAGCCAGTTGAATATAGAGCACCTTCTCATCAGAGCACAGGTCTTAAAGACCCAAAGGATCTAAAACATTTTCGCTGGAATTGTTTGCCCCAGTGAATATAAAGAACTGTCAAATTAAAAGGTAACATGGATTGCATCTATTATTGAGATATTTTCTGTATAAAAACTTTCCAGCATTTTGTCTGACTTTGGTGTTCATTTATTTTATTCTGACATGTAAATTAATTATTAATACTAAATATATTGTACCATTATACATCTGCTAACCAAATATTTAATCAAGAAATAACAGTTAAAATGAGGGTTTGGGTTTTTTTTAATAACAGTTAAAATGAAATAGGAAAATGACTTGGAGTCAATATTTCTTTGTATTTCCATTCTATGGCTTTTTGATTTATTTTAAGTTTCTTATATTGAAATTTCCCACGAAGCAGGAAGGATCCCTTATACATACTTTTGAAATTTTTAAAACATATCTATACATTTCAAATATATCTTGCAAACATTCAACTTCCTGATACCTGTGTACGGCTCCACTTCTGAGGGTAACTTTTTCTGTAACCATTTCAAGAATATGATCCCACTGATTCAGTGTTTTCCTGGGAATGAGGAGGCGCACTACAGGACTAATAAGGTCTCCATTAGCAATCAGGCTGAAATAAAGCAAAGTTAAATAGTTTGGAGGAGCATTTTAAGCAAAACTCATCTGACATTAAGAAAACCACAAAAACAGGCAGTTCGCTAACTGAAAATTCTACTTACAAAATAGTGCAGGGCTCCTGAAGCGGTTTTCGAAACCGTGCTGACACATTGATTCTACTGTGAGTAACTGGCTTCACCTGCAAGGACAAAGGGAATTAGAAATTATTCTGTCTTCACTTTGGGACAGAGTTGGCCTTGATTACCAGCAAGGAGGGCAGAAACAATAGTATGGTACAACATACAATGCTGTATAGCACACTGAACGCATGACACAACACACAATTTCCACTGAGGGGTCAGAATTATATGGGTATCTTTGGTGGCTTCTCAGCCCTTGTTCCTAGACACGCAAGACAATGCTCCTGACCACTGTTTTTGCGTTGTTAGTTCTCACTGCTCATGACCGCGGCTCCCTTAAACTCGCATCTTCTCTTTTTAATGATAAATGCTACCTCTAGCACCCTTTGCTGTTATGTAGTAAGTATATTTACTCATGCATAGCTCTCTTCATCCAAATCTGTCAATAATTTTAAAAGGTTGGTGAATACTATCCTCACTTTAGAGGAGTGAACTGCAAATTTTTAGATACCAGAATAAAACACGGGCTACCTAATTTCCAGCGTTATCCCCCGTACCCTTTTGAACAGATGTTGTGATCAGGTCGATCAGGTTGCTCAGTGTTAATGCCATTATATTAATATTGAATAGAAAGTTATGCAATACTCTCTAGCCAGGTTTCCCTATTGCATTTACAAACACACTTTCAAATTTTAAAGAAGGAATAAAAATAAACTCTAAAACCATTAGGAAGATTTCTTAATTCACCATAATTAGCAAAATAAGTTGTCCGTCCCAAACAAACATCCAAAAGTCACAGCACGTGCATTAACAAATTGGCAACATTTCTATTAAAGGCTATAAAAGCTCAAAGAATTAAATACCTGGCATGCACAGATAGAGACATGCTTTAAAATAGATGTACAAAGTTTATTTAAACCATTAACATTCCCAATCACTGTGTAAAGCCGTCTAATGATGTGATGTCCTGCAGTTTTATCACACTTTGTGCTAATTTAATCAATATTTCCCATTTCAATTTAGCAAAAAGGTTCTGGGCTCCAGCACTTTAAATCTTCACATAGGTTTTTATACAAATTAATTTAGCACTGACAGAACTGCTTTCTGGATCTTTCTCTTCTATGGACTTAGAGAAAACAAAGAGGCCCTGGACCCTACCAGAAACTCCAAACTTTATGGTTAAAAGTAAGTTATTAAAATAATAAAATCTGACTTCCCACATAACACAAAGAACATCTACGTGAAGGACAGCAACCAGGTAGATCTTTTGAACAAAAAGGGGGCATGGTGATATGAAGCTCAGTGCAGAGGTTGTTTTGGCCAGACCTTTCTACAGGAGGAGAAACAGAAAGATATTACTGCAGCGTTGTGCCAGCAGTGCTTGTGGACCAGACCAGGAAAGAGACTGTGGACTGGGCGGCCTATTTTAGAGATAAATGTTTGTCTTGGCCTTATAAAATGACATAATTTTTACTGGACTGTCTGTTCAGAAAACCATGCCTCAATACCTGACATAATCTCCATTCACAGCCTTTCCAGGAACTCCAATGTGCTCAGAATCAGAGTAGGAGGTTACACAGCTCAAATAGGGAAGGCAAAGATATTTTGGAGGCTGCCAAATAATGTAGGAGTACAGCCATTCTTGCAGAAACGCTCCAAGCACATTTTTCAGGACATAAGCACGATTGGTCATTCACGTCGCTAAAATTTAGGACGAAAATTTACTAGGTCTCTAGGGAGAAAAAGAAAACACACCTTAAACTGGAACATCTGAAAACATTTTTGCTGCTGTCAGTCATTAAGCGTTATTTGCCAATGCAAGCAACCTAACAGAAAGCTTCAGAATCTAGAAAAAGGAGGGTAACTTTCTGAAAAGTATGTTACTGATGGCTGAGGCAATACTGATTTACTTCTACAGCATCTGGTCCTAATATTTAAACTCCAAAGATGGGTTGCATCCGAAATGGGAATGGTGTAACTTAGGCTGCCCTTATACCTCTTTGCGTAGCTGCTGGGTTGTCAGGCTAATCCCTCATAAAGTACTCAATATATCTCATTTACAAGGCTAAAAGACTAATTGATCCTGTCTTTGTAGAAGCTCCAGACCTGATAAGAAGATCACTACAGACTTCTCTGACCAGCATTAGCCATAGGTGTTAGACAGAAGAAGGAAATTGCTTAAAATGCTGGAATAGATTTTCCTCATTAAATCCAAAATTTAAGGACTTCAAAAGAGCAACTAGAAGAGACGGACTGTTAGCCCTTTTAATAACACACTTCTATAGCACTTTCATCAGTAAACCTCAACGCACTTGATGCTGACTTTGTTGGAATTATCTCTGTGCTAATGCCAGAGAAGCAAACACTGCAACTTGACGTGATCACACAGAAGCCTAAGAGAAGAACCAGGAACGCATCGCCTCAATCCCACTTGACTGTTCTACCACGCTGTGTCTCAGGCGCAGGCAGTATCACACTACATGTGCTTTTCCACTTGCTTTCAGCAAGACCTGTATCTTCCCCTCTGCAACACAACATACATATTAAAAATTCTTCTGCCTACTGACAACTCTCTAATGATCCCTCAACCTTCCACAGCAAGGCTAACATATGACATAACATAAGAGCGCCCAGAAACAATAGCAAAGCAAACCCATAGCGAGTACACTTCATGTTTCTTTAAGGACAGTAAAGGGAATTTTTCACGGACCCTGACCACTTTCGGTTTTTCTAGCGTTTGTTAGGTATCTACTATATTTCTTCAACACAAACCAGAACTCTCTGTTGCATCACTATCTCTCAGGTACAACATTGTGAGTGAACTTCACAATCTTGCCAGTATGGGTACAACCTGTCAAGATACATAAGGCTTTACAAAGCCATTTAGCTCCTGGCCAGCTGAGGATGATAGAGGAGTTAAAACCATGCAAGTCCCGTTTAAAGATGCATTATTATTGTTTCACAACTAATTGTTATGTTTATAATAGCAATATCTGAAGAGCTAAATTAGACTGGGGTCACAGTAACTGAGGTACTATATAAAGCCTTAACTGTTTCAAAAATATACCATTAAATACTTTTAACTCTTAATACTATTCAGATGATGAGATACAAGGTGAGCACAGGGCGTGCTCAAATTTGCTGAGAAAGTCCAAATTGTTTAAGTAGTAGTCACTTAGACAGCAGAAAGTGGAAAATATGTGGATGAATCTACTGCAAGTAGTTTCAGGTTTTGATGCTCACCCACAACGCTGTTTCTCCCATGAGAAAACCCTTATATCACTTTTCTAAAAGTTGATGCCTTATCCACTCCTGAGGCTCACTTCTGCAGCTGGTATCTACGTCCAAGCTCTCATGAACTCCAAACAGGCCATCAAACCAAGTTCTCTGATCCAGTCTGCATCACTCGGGTTTCAATGACCCACGCTTCATTGGAGCTAGTCAGAAAACGTTCACTAAACATAAAGAAGCAGCCCTTTAGGATAGTCCCAGGTGTGGCCAATTATTTAGTTGTTTCTGCAAGCTGATGAAACCATTAATTTTCATGTAGGCACCTCAGAAGGCCACCATGTTATTGTATGCAGCCCAATCACTGGCCCCACGAGAAAACAAGTAACCTGACAGACTTGGGCTCGTTTATTATTTGAAGGTTTGTATTTCTGTCCATAATAGATACAGTAGCATCACCTTGCAACCTGTTTTTTGGGTTACTCTTGCTAAGAGTCATTAGTATTTCTGGCAGCCTTCTCTGGCCTACCTGGAAAACAAGACAGCCCTGTTCTTAAATAGGCAAACTGCAGGGGATTGCAAGATGGGACCAACATGGGCAGAAACTTCATATTTTTCTTTTCTATCTTAACATGGCCTAAACAAGAACAAAATACGAACCTGTATAGTTTTGTTAAGTCTACTGAAGTCAAATCAAGCTTGCCTCCTATACTTAAAGGTAAAAAGAATACATTAGTGTGATATTATATTGGCTAATGCAATGCCACAAAAATCAGCCTGCAGAAATGCCAAGACGACTATGACAATATTAACTTGTTTAAAACACCACGCAGGTGTTTAACACCACGCACAGAGGAGGCCTCAGCTCCTGGGAGCTCGGAACAAAATAACCCAGACTAAATTAGACAGACACTGGGCCATGCTGGTACAGAAGTCTCAGTGTTTTTGTCACTCACTATTGGAACAGTGCGGGTAAACATGCTCCATCTTTCCTCTGAGCTCCCACATGCTCCTAAGCAGATGTTTAAGCTACGGTTGTTTGTCTCGAAGAGGAGGGATCAGTAATTTCTTTGGGACTGCTAGTCTTTTGAAGGCACGTTTTACACCTGATCTGCTTCAGGGAACAAAAGACAAACATTATCTTCATCCGCAACACAGGGACACTGATTCTGCATATGAGAGAGAGGAAAGCAGAATATAAATATATAAATTAAAAAAAAATAATAATAAAAAAGTGGAGGAAAATCCCTGCTAAAGCACGCTGGGTTGCTACAAACGAGCTGTGCACAACACCTTTAATTTTATAGCTGGCAAGCATGCAGACATGCAAGCAACTAAAATATTATAGTCCATAATGCTCAGAAGAGAGCTCTTACAGAGGATGAACGTATGTTTTGGCTGCGGCATCGTGTATCAAGTTCTCCAGACACAATAGCACAGACTTCAGGACAAACTACTTTAGCCTACCATGAAGCCACTTTCTTTAAAAAATAGCGTGGGTATTTCAATATATTAAACAAAAACAAAATCATCCTCTATACCATTACTACCATTAACTCTGACTGTCCTGTTCATTTTTTTTCTCTGGCACAGTCTTTAAGTTACCACCTCACACTGTTTAGAATAACTTTTGTCTGACCAATGTTAAACTATTTATGGGTATGAAAAGAGCTTATTTTCTAAAGCGAGCAGCGTAATTTAAATTCACAGAAGTATGCATTAATAAAAGACCAACTGCTCAAATCAATACAGCTGTTTGAAGTATGTGGAATTATACCAAACTACATAAGTGGAAGACCTAATCCAGTATTTAATTAAAGAATACATGACT